ACTACAGGTGCGTGCTACCACGCCCAGTTAGTTTTTGGTTTATTGTAGAGATGAGGTCTCGCCAAGTTGCCCGGGCGGGTCTTGAACCGGCGGGCTCAGGCAATCCACTCACCTCAGCCTCCCAAAGTGCGGGACTACAAGCTGAACCACCGAGCCCGGCTACCCCAGACACTCTTAGCATCACATCCTGTGTTCTTACCCCTGTAGCCTTCTGCTACTCAGACCCTTCCAATGTCCACAGACCTGAGAGGCCTCCCAACCCTGCTGAGTGCAGTATAAACCCACGTCCTCCAGTCTTCACGGCCACCTCCTCAGAGGGTCCTGATGGCCATGTGCCCTCCCATCGGCCCCTGCCTTCCTTGCTGCCCCTTTTGAGGATATTTAAGTCTTTTAGGCAACAATTTCCCTCATGTCCTTCCCTACCTGATTCCAGGTTTTTCTGGCTTAAGGGAGGTGCCACCTCCTTGTCCTAGGCTCTAAGTCCCTCCACCAGTTCCCTTGCCCAACTCTACTGGTCACCTTCTTCCACTGCCCATAGCCTAAGTGTCTCTTGTTGCTCTGGAGCCCTCTCTCCACCTGCCTCCCCCACAAGGGCCTGTGCCCTCTCTCCTGCCCAGTCCCTCCTCCCGCCCCTCCTCAGCCCCTGCTGCCTAAGTCCATCGGGCAGCAGTTTCCCTCGTGTCCCTCGTAGGTGGGACTCTCTCTAGGTTCTGTCCTCCCAGACACACTCACACTGCTCCTCTCTCTTTTGCTCTTTCTCTTCTGTCGCCAGTAAGGTTCCCCCAGCATCCCTGGATGCCGCTGTCTGCACCTTCTCTGAGATCTAGCCCATGGCTGTAAACTCTGATTCCACTGAGGGTGCAGTGAAAATCATTTCCTTCAGTTTAACCCTCACCTGAGCTAAAATATGTGGGTCCAGTTAGCAGCAGACATCCCCATCTAGACATCCGGCCAGCATCTCTCACTGAACATGTCCATGATGAAAGGAAGCTCAGCATCTCTCCTGAGCCCTCCCCTGAAACCACACATGCACACTCACACTCACGCACTCGGACATCCAAGTGCACACACAGGCACACACATGCATGTTCATATGTGCACAAGTGTGCACACACATAAGGATGCTTCCCCCTTTGTCCTGCGTTCCCTGGTTTGATGAATGGCATCCCCACGCACCAGCAGCTGAGCTAAACACCGAGTCACTGTTCCCGCCCCTCCCATCCTGCCGAGGCCCTGCTCCTGTTACTGCTGCCTCAATTAGAGAACCTGTGCTGGTCTCTGCCCTGGCCCATCAGCACTAGGGAAATTAGCTAGTGGCTTGCTCCTTATCCAACACATGGCACTACCTTCGTTCGTTACAGGGTGAGGATTTGTGAGAAAGCCAACAACAGATAGAACCTCGTGCAGGGCACCCTGAGATGAGGATGAAGAGGGTGGTGAGGGGTGAGGGGAGTGGCTGCTGGGACGGGGGTCCTGACAGCAGGGTGAATGAGGGTCTCACCTTTCCAGGCCGCCATCCTCCAGGTTTCGGAAATCCGAATTGGTCCAGGTGGAAAACTTCTCCATAATATAGGCTGCCAGGCCCACAGGAGAGTCATTCAGAGCGCAGCCTGACATGGGAAGAAGCAAGTGAGAGAGTCAGGCCTGGGAGCAGGGGGCCGACTGTCAGGCCTGTGACGTGGTGCTGGCCCCCAGAACTGTGGGCAAGTGGGATCACAGCCCCACCTAACTCTCGGGTGCTCACGTACCTCACATCCTCAACCCTTGGCCTCAGCATCCTCATCTGATAAACAGGACAATACCTTCCAAGTGAAGGCTCTATGGCTCTGGGTTTGATGAGGTCCAAATGGGACGTATACACAAATTCTGCTTTTAAAAAGGTGTGGGTCTTCGGTCTATATGTTCTGATTTGTAAAAAACAAGAAACAACCTAAGAGTCTAAAATAGAGGATCAGTTACAAATAAATATGGATACACCATAAACTTAGGTATGGTGCAGTCATTAAAAGTCAACAAAAGTCGGCCGGGCTCGGTGGCTCAGCTTGTGATCCCAGCACTTTGGGAGGCCGAGACGAGCGGATTCCCTGAGCCCACGGGTTCGAGACCAGCCTGGCCAACTTGGTGAGACCTCATCTCTATAATAAAAAAAAATTAGCCAGGTGTAAAAGCAGTGCTTGCAGTTCCGGCTACTTGGAAGACTGAGGCAGAAGGATCGCCAGAGCCCAGCAGGTCGACGCTGGGATGGCCATGAGTATGCCACTGCACTCCAGCCTGGGCAACAGAATGAGACTCCAACTCAAAAAAAAAAAAAAAAAGTCAACAAAAGTCTATGCTGAGACAACGGCTTAGATGAATCTACCATACATAATAGTAAGCAAAAGAAGCCAGACCTGAGAGTATGTGCTCTGTGACCCCATCCGTAGGGCAAGTGAAAATGGGCAAAGCCAGTCTATCTGTCAGAAATCAGCAGGGTGGTTACCCTGGGGGGACAGTGGCTAGAAGAGGGCACAAAGGGGCATCTGGGATGTCGGGGTCACGCTAGTAATAGGAGCATGCTTCCTTTGTGAAAATTCATCAACTGAAATGTTAGCATGTTCTTTAGGAAGGAGAGGGAGATGTGGAGAGGGAGGAGAGGCTATGGGAGATTGTCTTTTCCGTTTTGTGCTTTTTGCCTTAAACTTTTTGACAAAGAACACATTTTATAATTAGAGAATAAAACTGGTTTTATAAAGTGCCATTACTGCGCTCATGAACTGCTTTGTGTGTGAGCACAGGGTTGCCATGAAAACTACAGAAGACTTCAAAATGGGCAAAACGATTCCTGGGTGTCCTCTGAATGGGATACAGGGAATTATCTGTTGGACCCTTCCAGAGTTTATCTGATTCTATAGGGGTGCCATCTTCCATTGTCTTTGAGCTTTTTCCTTTTTTTTTTTTGAGTCAAACTCTCACTCTGTTGCCCAGGCTGAAGTGCAGAGGCATGATCACAGCTCAACGCGGCCTTGACTTCCTGGGCTCAGGTGGTCCTCCCACCTCAGCCTCCTGAGTAGCTGGGACTATAGGCATGTGTCACTATACCTAGCTAATTTCTTTGATCTCTTTTACAGCTCTGTGAATTATAGAAAACCGAGAGTAATGTGAATGATTCTTGTTCACAGAGAAGCAAATGGAGATTTCATTGATTGTTACTCTGTGGATTTCCATAAGTCTTACATCAGTTAGCAAATTTTTTTTTTTTTTTTTTTTTGAGTTGGAGTCTCACTGTGTCACCCAGACTGGAATGCAGTGGCTGCTCCCAGTCACTGCAGCCTCGACCTACTGGGCTCTGGTGATCCTTCCACCGCAGCCTTCCAAGTAGCTGGAACTACAGGCGCGGGCTACCACGCCTGGCTAAGTTTTTATTTATTGTAGAGATGAGGTCTCGCCAAGTTGCCCAGGCGGGTCTTGAACCCACAGGTTCAGGCAATCCACTCACCTCGGTCTCCCAAAGCGCTAGGATTACAGGCTGAGTCACCGAGCCCGGCCAGGTAGTAAATTAATTTCAGCATTCCTAATTATCCTCAAACTGTTTTTTAAACATTTTGCTGGTTCCTTTATGAATTAGTGAATTAAGTGAAATATTCAAAATGTGTTTTTTTTACATTACAAGAGAATTATGATTTATATATACATATTTTTTAATTGCAGTTTAACAGGACCCTGTGGAAGGAATGGTTGCTGGGCCCTCCCTCACTGTCATGGGGAACTTCCCCTCAGGCCCTGGGGTACCCTCTCCTTGAAGCCCAAGAACTGCCAAGCCCCCAGCTTCCTACTGCTCACTCCCTCCATCCCTCTGCTTCTTTTTTTTTTTTTGAGTTGGAGTCTCACTCCATCGCCCAGACTGGAGTGCAGTGACCGCTCCCGGCCACCGCAGCCTCGACCTGCCCGGCTCCGGCGATCCTTCTGCCTCAGCCTTCCAAGTAGCTGGAACTACAGGTACATGCTACCACGCCCGGCTAATTTTTTGATTTATTGTAGAGATGAGGTCTCACCAAGTTGCCCAGGCAGATCTCGAACCCGCGGGCTCAGGCAATCCACTCACCTCAGCCTCCCAAGGCACAGGATTACAGGCTGAGCCACCGAGCCCGGCTTTCCCTCTGCTTCTTAGTGTAGGACTTAGGCCCAAGGGTGAGAAGATTGGAGTCCGAGCCACTCTTAACATTTAATCATCTAAACAGAGTTGTTGATCAGCCTGAGAATTTGATGACCATCCGTCAACTTGCTGCTATGGGAAAATGCAGTTGAAAAATGGAAAGAAGCTGGGCGCAGTGGCTCAAGTCTATAATCCCAGCACTTTGGGAGGCCAAGGCGAGAGGACTGCCTGAGCCCATGGGTTTGAGACCAGCCCGGGCAACATGGTTAGACCTCATCTCTACAATAAATCAAAAAATTAGCTGGGTACGGTAGCGCGTGCCTGTAGTTCCAACTACTTGGAAGGCTAAGGTAGAAGGATAGCCGGAACCTAGCAGGTCGAGGCTGTGGTGGCCGGGAGCATACCACTACACTCCAGCCTGGGCGACAGAATGAGACTCCAGTTCAAAAAAAAAAAAAGAAAAAAAAAGAAAGATGGAAAAAGCTCGAAGTTCCTCACCAGGGGCTTCCTCCTGTGAGCAGCATTCCTGGGGCATGGGTCAGTGTCCCCCAGTATGTGCCTCCCCCCCGCCCCCCACAGTGGAGGGCCAGCTGAGCAGGGAGACCCCCTGGGTGAACTCACCTACAGTATCCGGCTTGGTGCACTGGATGTGCATGTAGCCACTCTCCCTCATGAGGCTGTAGAAAATCTTCTCCTTAAAGGGGTACATCAGCTCTAGATCCCTCTCAGTGCAGTCCAAAAGGCCCGCAAGACGCCGTCCCAGGAAAAGGGTCAGGGCGCAGGAACTTCTTGTAATCAAAGCCATGTTCAAGTGCAGGCCTTTCACGTGCCTGAGGACAGAAGAGGGGCTCAGGTGAGGCTGAGCTGGTGTCAAGGAAACAGGGAGAAAAGAGATGGAGGAGGAAGGAACCGGCTGCAGGGCTGAGGGCCAAGCCCAGTGCCAGCCTCCTTCAGCACCTGGCCCCTGGAGTGGCCACAGGAGTTGGAGGAGGGAGGTGACGGGGAAATACAGAGTTTCTAGAAAGCTCTGGTTGGGGTCTCCCAGAGCTTGGCCCCTCAGGAAGGTCTAACCCCTGACCTTCACCTCCTCTCACTGATCTTCCCGCCAGGGTACCCCACCCAGAGTCACAACCCTGAGTTACACCGAATAAGAGGATCCAAGTCACGTGCCCCAAGTATCACCGAGTGACACCCTCCATCCCCTCTTCCTCCCTGCACAGAGGTCCGCCTCTTGGAGGCTGGGCATACTCCCATACATCTGAAAGTGACCTCACCTGGGCACCAGCTGGGCCATGTTGGTGCAGATCAGTGCCCCCCAGTCCCCACCTTGAGTATAGAATTCCTGGAAGCCCAGCCGTAGCATCAGCTTATAAAAGATCCTGGCAGTGGCCACCGAATTGAACCCTGGTCATGAAGGGGAAAGAAAACAGAGTCACAGGGAGGTCTCTTCCGGTGTCCTGTGAAATTCCTCAGACCCGCCTCCTCCAGGATGAGGAGAGAAGCTCACAGAAGGCAAGAAGGAATGCTGGGGCCCAACGTGGGGGTGGGCGACTCCAGCCCCGGAAGGCAGTGTGCCTGGGGACGGCCTCCATGGAGCAGGCAGTGAGTGGACAGCGGCTCTGCTGGGCAGTGAGAGCTTGCGATGGGCTCAGGCCAGCCACTGAGGTATCTGTGGGCCGCGTGGGGGTTTGGACAGCTTCACTGACCTAGAACAGTCTAGGGTCCAGGTGTGGACCTGCCCCTGGGCGGGAAGTTCACGAGAACACAAGAGTCCAGGCTTTGACCAGCACCAAACAGTGTTAACCTTGCCTTCCACTGTCCCTCAATCACCTTCTCAGATCTTAAGATGCATTGACCCTTTGGTTAAACAGAAATAGAGGCAAGGCATAATGGTTCACGCCTGTAATCCCAATGCTTTGGGAGGCCAAGGCAGGAAGATCACTTGAGCCCAGGAGTTCAAGACCAGCCTGGGCAACATAGCAGGATCCCATCTCTACAAAAAAGAAAAAATTTGCCAAACATGGTGGTGCATGCCTGGAGTCCCGGCCACTTGGAGGTGGAGGTGGGAGGATTGCCTGAGCCCAGGAGTTGAAGGCTGCTGTGAGCTATGATCAAATCACTGCACTTAGCCTGGGTGACAGAGGGAGGCTCTGTCTCTATAAACAAACACGTAAGTAAATAAAATAAAAACACCTCTCAGACTCCTCCTTTGCCAGCTTCCTCTGGCCAATTTCCTGCCTCATCCACCCGGAAGGAGAGCCTTGGCAGGCACAGCTGGCCCACACTGGGCGAGGATGGAGCAGTTAAACAGCCCCCAGCAGTCCCCATACCCTTCTTGGAGGATGCCTCTGAGAAGCCGTAGCCAGGGATGGAGGGGCAGATGACTTCAAAAACATGCTCGTCGCTCAGGCCATGGTTCTTGGGGTCAGTGAGGAATGGGATGATCTTATAAAACTCATAGAAAGAGCCGGGCCAGCCATGCACCATCAGCAAGGGCTTTGGAGTGTGGCCTGAGGGCAGCGTGGAGGGCTTCACGTGGATGAAGTGGATGTCCAACCCTGGGGGGACAGAGCACAGTCAGGGTGGGGGCATGGGGAAAGGGCCTGGAGGCTGGGGAGGCTGCAATCCCGGAAGGGTCCCCAGGGTATCCGGTCAGGCTCTGCACCCTCTGGAGCATGGACGGTGAGTGCAGCCGCCATCAGTCCCTCCGCCCCCGTCATCTGTCATGGTATTGATGACAGTAATAAAAGCCAACACTGGTTGCGAGTTCACACTGGACACGGGTGTCCTCACTCAGCCTTTACAACCTCCCTGCTAGGCAGGCACTGTAGTCACCTTGCAGTCACCTTAGAGCATGTGCTCTGAGGACAAGGCCAGGTCCAAAGATAATTGGGCAAGTTACATTGAGGACAAGGACCTCAAGACAAAATTTTACAAAAAAACTTTATCACAACAAGAGTTGTGAAACTCACTGACCAGCTCTAAGTCATTATGGCAAACTAACCTTTAGCCTGCAGTAAACAGAAAAGCAGTTAACCACTGCTGTTAATTAACTGTATCTTAAAACGGAACACCCGCATCATACAAATAACCTCTCTCTAGCAACTTCTCTATGTCACGCAGGCTAGCTCCCTGGCCCTGGCACAGCACTGACTCTCCCAGCACAGTTAGACAAATCCCCTCTCGCCTCTGCCTCTTTGCAGACAGCAGACGGTTTTCCTTTGCTGTTCTGCCCACTGGTCTCTTATAGCGTATCTTCCCTTTAAGAAATCTGCCTTTGTAAATTCACAATTGTCTTGGTAAATTCATTTACCAACCCACAACTCTGGCAATATGTATGCGTAGACTGTATTTATACTGTATATTTATGAGTTTTACAAGACTGGGAGGATAAACTCCAAAAACGTAAAAAGCATTTCTCCCCGAGCAGTAGGAGCCAGTGCTTTTACTTTCTTCTCTGTGTTATAGGTACTTCCCAATCTTCCTACAATGAACAGAGAGTAAACGCATAACTGTTTTCACACATATAGCAACACATGTAGTATCTTTTTCTAATTATAAAGCAACTTTTTTTTTAATGGAGGGTTTTTTTTAAAGTGCAGTGCTGGGAGCATCATCACAGCCAAGGGCAGGTGAGGGATTCCAGGTTCCCTTGGACCCCCTCTGGACCTCCGTCTCCAAGGAGAGCAGCCGCTCCCCAGGCCAGTGGCAGGACAGCACTTGGGCACCCATAGCACTCACAGCACTGGAACCTCCGCCCTGAGGGCTAGAGTTGATGGCTTGGTTCAGCTGATGCTCTGTTCTGTTAATTCATTAAAAAAACAATGCATGTGCACCGTAGAAAACACAGACAAACCAAAGGAGGAAAAATCATACGTAACCTTACCATTTGAAGAGAACACTGCATCGTCTGTCCAGATTTCTTTTTTTAAACTTTATTTTGGAACAGTTTTAGATTTACTAAAAAAAAAAAAAAAAAGCAAAAAAAAAACCCCCCAAAAACTGATTTTGAAGTGCATAACACCGTATGGGTGACCACAGGCACTATGTGGTAGAAGATGTCTCTGGAACTTATCGATCGGGCATAACTAGAACTTTATACACACGGATTGGCAAGTCTCCCCTACTCCCCAGCCCCTGGCAACAACCATTCTGCTCTCTGCTTCTGAGTGTGACTATCTTAGATTCCTTATGATTCTTAGAACCTATCTTAAATTCTCATATAGGTGGAATCATGCAGTATTTGTCCTTCTGAGCCTGCTTATTTCACTTAGTGTCATGTCCTCAAGGTTTATCCATGGTGTCATGGTGCTGCATATGACAGGATTCCTTTCTTTCTGCAGGCCAAGGAACACTGGAATAGGCACACAATGGACTATTATTCAGATTCCTTAGTTTTTGCCTCACTCCATTTCCTGTTTCAGGATCCCACATTACGTTTAGTTGCCACGTCTTCACAGGCTCCTCTTGGCTGTGATGGTTCAAACTTTTAAAAGAGACTTGGAGAAGATAACTTTTAACAAGAATAGAGGCCCTACATACATTTCATTTTGGAACTTATTTTTTCACTTGACAATATATCCTGGGTGTGCTTCCATGTTGCTAAATTTACTCTTATTCTAACGTTTGGGCAGAATCTTATCTCCCTTGGAACACATTGCATGATATGAGATTATTTTTAATTCAAAAATTCTACCACGTTATCATCTAAGTTTAAAATTAGAAAAAAATACGCACACACACACACATGCCTGCATCTGCTAGGGCTATCCCTGGAAGCTCATGGAAAGCCGAGCTGCCTCTGGGTTGGGGCAGGGGCAAGAGGGAGACTTCCTTCTCACTGTATTTCCTTCTGTTTTTGTTGAATTGTAAACATTTGAATTTTAAAACTTGAGACATTTTTTCAGAGCCCACACCTCATAGTTGACCTCGTGGGACCCTCTTTCCCTTTGCGGGAGGAAATACCCTCCTTGGGTTTCCCTACAGGTCTGTGGTGCCACAGGGTGCACCGTGATAGGGCTGCCGTCAGAATCCAGGAGCTTAGGTGAGCTCAGGAAGGCAGCGCTGGGCTTGGAGGGTGTGAGGGGAGAGTGTGGGGTCGAGGGTGTCACCGCCAAGGGCCTGAGCCTGCTGGACAGTGGCCAAGGGTAAAGGAAAAGGGACGAGATGGGCATCTGGAGACCCGGTGGCTCCAGCATTCCCTTCTCCTTTCTGGACATGATGAAGCTGGACTAACCCAGAGGCCTCGGATGTCCTGCAGCTTCCAGTCTCTCTGAGGACAGAAGCTGGGCTCCTGTGGTGGGAGGCCCAGGACATGGGTTAGATCAGGACGCTCATTACAGAACAAGTAGGGAAGTGTCAGGAACAGTGAGGCCTGTGGGGATAAGGACAGAGCACTGCGGTAGGGGCCAGAGGTTGGGCCGTGAGCAGCCAGGAGCACAGGGGACAAGAGAAGACCCTTAAGAGGCCCAACATGAAGATAGAGGGAGGGAAGAGGGAGGAGGAACACAGCAAACAGACTGAGGGGGCAGGGGGAGGCCTTCATGGACAGAACCCAAGTTGGGAGTACAGGAAGAGACACATCGAAACTCTCTGGGCCTGCAGACCAGAGGCTGCCTGCTCATTTTTGTGGAGGGTGGGCAGAGAATGCAGGAGCCCAGGCCCACTGGAAGGACCTCATACCAAAGGACCAGGGCCAAGAACGGGCCGCCAGCCCTGGCAAATGAGCCAGAACCGCGCAGGGTCAAGTCCATGATGAACTCAGAGCTGGAAACTGCCTTCTTAGGAGCAGCTGTACCCTGAGGGAGGTTTTGTACTGGTACCGTAAATAACCAGTGTCCTGAGGAACACTGAGATAGTGCCGTGGGGTAAGACTTTGGTCTCAAGCTTGCAGCCTCCAAGAGGGAAACAGCTCTTCACTGCCTCCTGCCCCTGGGTCTTTGAACATGCTCTTCCCTCCTTCTCGGACCATCTTCCCCACACACTTGTCAGGTTTCTACTCATTTCTGCTTAGATGCCACCTCCTCCAGGAAGCCTTCTTCACACTTGATGGAAGAATGTGGGGCTCACGGAACTCCTAGCGCGTCCTCCTTCCAGCGCCCCTTGCCTTGTGCTGAAGTTGCCCCTGAGGAGCCTGTGAGCTGTGAAGGCAAAGACCCTGACCTCTCTGACTGTGGGTATCCAGCCCAGCAGAAAGCCTGGATGCAGGAAGTACCCCGTCAACATCTGCTGGGTAGACGCTAAAGAGCTGGGGCCACAGAGGGATCCAAGTCAGACTCAAGGAAGCCAGGCGATTCGGTGCCAGAAAGCCAGAGGAGAACATCTGGAAATCATATCCAATGGCCTGTATGGAATTTGGCTTAGATGAAGTGGCTTGGCTCCTTTGGTCAGGTTCAAAACAGAACATCTCAAAAATCTCTAATGGGCACAGCAATACTCACGAGGAGCCCCAATCTGACCAAAAGTCATCGTGCCAGAATTTATTTTTATTTTTGTCGTGCTCCTGGCTGAGCTCCAGGAAGGGCAGTTCCAGGACACACACCACTGGGTTCCACTTAGCTTTTCCTTCACCCGGTTCCCCTCAGGCCCAGCCTCCCTGTGTCTGAAGAACAAGGGCATTTGTCTCTGGGGTCAGGGTTTCCGTCCATCCTTTCATGTCCTCTTCTTACCCACCCCTGAAGTGGGAACTGCCATTTCCCCATCACACATCAAGGCCTCTGCAGGAGAGAAGATGGTCACTAGTCCCGGTTCTCATGGCTCTCAGGGCAGGGTTCCAACCTCCAGGGCACGTTCTGCCTCTCCACTGTCCGCGTGAGCCCTTTAGGGGCCTTCAGGGTGGTGTTTATGTGTAAAAGAGCATAGTCAGAGATTACTCTGGCTTTTAAAATTATTCTTCAATTTATTAAACTTCCACATTTAAATAAGTATTGGAGCTCAGCTTACAAATGTTATGCTATGTATTGATTAATCTAGCAAATATCCACAGTCACTCTCCAGGGACCTTTAATTAATAGGTGGATGCATTTCTAAACTTGCTTAACGATGCTCCTTTAAAAACTGTATAGTTTCTAATGCTCTTTGGTGTTACGCTTGACTAGTGTATTAATACAGTCTGCATCTGAGGAAATTTGTGTTTGCATTATTCCTTTAAGTGCTGGATAAATTGGTCAAACAATGAAGATAAGAATATTCCCATCACTGCCTTTAGCCTGGTTAATTGCTCCTGCTCTTGTGAAAAGGTTTGAAATTGATAACAGATTTACTGGATTTGATATGATATGCTTTTCAGTGAAATAAATTATTCATTCATATTTGAAAATTTTAAAAATAGTTAATAATAAAAATTGTATTGTTTCAGTTGAGTATGGTGGCTCATCCCTGTGATCCCAGTGCTTTGGGAGGCTGAGGCAGGAAGACTGCTTAAAGTTTAGCATTCTAGATCAGCCTGGGCAACATAGCAAGACTCCATCTCGCCGGGCTTGGTGGCTCAGCCTGTAATCCTGCGCCTTTGGGAGGCTGAGGTGAGTGGATTGCCTGAGCCCGCGGGTTCGAGACCCGCCTGGGCAGCAAGACCTCATCTCTACAATAAATCAAAAAATCAGCCGGGTGTGGTAGCGCATGCCTGTAATTCCGGCTACTTGGAAGGCTGAGGCGGAAGGATCGCCAGAACCCGGCAGGTGGAGGCTGCGGTGGCCT